AATGGCAAACAACAACTTCAGGGAAATGTATTTATGGAAAGATGGACAGCTCATAGCAGGGGTAGGCAACCTTTTTGAGCCGGGGGCCGGGTTGCTGTCCCTCAGACAATTGGGGGGGGCCTAAGCACCAAAAATAAATAAATAAATAAATATTTTTTTAAAAAAATTAAAAAATATATGCATGCACACTCTCTCAGCCCCAGAAAAGCCATGGCAAAACCCCTGTGGAGATTTTGCCAAGAACAAGTAATAACAACAATAATCAATATCATCATGGCGGGCAGCAGGGGGCGGCGGCTCAGGGGGCCGCATCCGGCCCCCGGGCCTTAGGTTGCCTACCCCTGGCTCATAGTAATCTGGATGACTAGCCCATCTGACGGACGTTTGAGGAACAATGGGGTCACCTTCTTTTAGGGTGTCACCTGGTGTGGTCCGTACTCTCCGGACCCCTTAATGATGGCAATGCTCTCCATAGAGAGTGATATGAAGAAAATTGTGTTGTTGTTGTTGTTGTTGTTGTTGTTGTTGTTGTTGTGTGCCATCAAATCATTTCTGACTTATGACAACCCTACGACGAACCTATCAAGGGGTTTTCTTGGCAAGATTTGTCCAAAAGGAGTTTGCCTTTGCCTTCCTCTGTTGGTTTCCATGGTCAAACTAGGATTCGAACTCATGTCTCCAGAGTCGTATTTCAATGCTCAAACCACTATACCGCAGTGGGGGGGGGGAGACAACACTTGCTCCATGTTAGTGTCCCCAAACCATCATTTAATGATCTTGCACTGAGTGCTGAAAAGGTACGTACATCATGTCGGGATTTCTGGACCTGTATGCTTACCTCCCACAGCAAAGACTGTGAAGTCAGACAGAAAGCACAGCCAGAATGGGGAGCAAAGGAGAAAGAAGTTTACAAAGGGAGAGATCTCCAGCACTCCTCCTTTCTCCAGCCAAGAGATTGGGGGAGGAAAAGCAGGCTTTGGGGCTGTTTGCTTTTCATTCCTCTCCCTCTTGTCTTTTCCCAACTAATGACCAGAAAAGAAGAATGACACATATGCAAAGCATGCCTCTAGCATCCGTCTTCATTAGCAGAGTTTTAGACAGGATTGCTGGCGGATGATTTGCTCCGAAGGGTGTGAAATCTTTGGGCTCCTAGACTGTGAACCCAAGAGAAGTGGGACTGGAAGACCCCCAATCCGTTCCACTTTGCCCTCTTTACCAGATGGAAACTTCTGCATATCGAGTATGGCATCCTCTCCAACTGTGCCAAATTGGCAGCGCCAGTCCCGATTAATCCTCTGTCTTCCCACTTTTCCAGCTGCTTTTAAAATGCCCCAGTTTCTCTCTTCTCCTCCCAATTTCCCCCCCTTGTCCTCAACTTAGTAAAGTGCAAAAATAATTCATATTCAATTAACTTACAGGAGTAAGATACAGAGGATCAACTGTAAACATACACACAATTATTCATCTATTATAAATCAGATAATTTAAAACAATGCAAAACAGCACAACCTTAGAATGTGTGAAGTCTGGATAAAATCAATTAGGCAGAAAGGTTTTCAATAAAAACACTAAGGTTTGACTTAATAATAATAATAATAATAATAATAATAATTTTTATTTAATACCCCGCCCCTCTGAGCGCAATCGGGGCAGCTTACATCATAAAATCATTTAAACTTGGTGTTTAAATAATCCCACAGTTGTTGTTACAGCACAATTCTTTTCATGGGAACAACCATGAAAGAGGGCGATTGCTTCGGTAGAGGGGCGGGATAGAAAATTATTATTATTATTATTATTATTATTATTATTATTATTATTATTATTATTATCCCGGAACAGGTTTGCCTCTTGCCTCCTCTCCAGCATCATCTCACCACCTGCGTCTGCAATGTCCATGTATCCACATGTATCTGTGTCTGCAATGTCCATGTATCTACTATATAACCCATCATACCAGCTTCCAAATATTTTATGTCAGGACAGATATGCATTTGCAACTCCTGACAATATATGAAGTTTAGGGGTCTGGCCAGAATCCATTTTCGGTGGTACGCAGAACGTAAGGGTCATACAGGCTTCTGCCAGCAATTCTTACAAAATCTTCTTGCAATGAAGAGAAACACGATCCGACTTAATGACTGGCTACATTACAGAGTCCCAGAGAGGGCAGAAATAATGATTTTGGCCTTGTTTAAAGATCACGCTGATAATAAAAACTTTACTTCACCGTTGTTGGAACTTCCTTCTGGCAGCCAGATATTAATGGTGGGAAACAGAGGTCATAAAGTATTGTTGATCAATGAGAAAGTTTGACCGCCATTCGAACCTCTGACATACGCATGCACCAAAACAGACCAGGGAGATGGGCATTGGTAGAAATTTGGCAACCCCTTCTGTATGTTTTTTTTTTTGGGGGGGGTGGAATTGAGGCGAGGCATAAATATACTCAGCAGAGTGGTTTATTTATATAACTTCATAACAGAACTTGAACTCTGTTTCCGACCGCTCTTCTGTTCATAGAAAATATCATGCGACTTTTGGAAAGGTTAATCCGGGGAGCCAAGTTCATTTCTTTTAATATATTTACAGAACAGAACCTAGCTATTGGTGGCATTTTACCAATAATAGTATTATACAGCTACGACTCTGATGGAAAGAATTTTTTTAAAAAGAAAAAAAAAGGCCAAAGCGCACCATTACAGAAATATTGATAAATTGCATATTCGATGCACAATTGTTTGAGGAATTTTTAGGAAGTCAGGAGGCCTTGCTTGCAAGTACTTATGATGGGATGTTGATCTGTAAAGCACAATACCAGTTCTACAACGTCAAACCTCAGGACAGATTGTGACTTATACCCATTATACAGGTGAGGGAATTGAGGCCATGGGGGGGGGGGAATGAAGTTGGAAGAAAATTGCTAAATTTACTCATTGCTTTGCATCCTTCAAGAGTGAAATTGGAGACAGATTATATACATCGTGCCAAACAAATGAAAAAGATTGTGGTGGTGGCAGAAAGCGAGACAAAACAGTCTTTCAGATGAAGTTCTTGCAGAACTTCTCCTGATTTTGAGTCTTTGCTGCCTACCTTTTTCCCACCTTCATCTTCAAGGCTTTTGCAAACAGGCTTCGACCCACTCCTCCTCAGAGCTGTTGATTTTCGCAGGGTTTTCTTAGGCAAGGAAGACTTAGATTGTTTCTTTTATTACTAGTAATAGTAGTAGTAGTAGTAGTAGTAGTAGTATTTCCAACCATCAAACATCATTACATTATATTTTCCATTTGGAGTTTATAAACATCTTTAAAAGAAAAAACATTTTGAATTTCACATCACGAAGCTTCTGTTATAACTCCTGTTTAAAGTATATATGCACCTCTGTGTGTGTATATATTTTGTCTGAATATATAAACTATTTGACTGTTTTCATTTCATTCATTTCATTTAATTCTTCTATACTTAAAACTGCTTTCTTCCCCCAATTCTCTTTTTAAAAAATATCATTTCTTTCCATTGGTCAATAAACTTTGTCAAGGTGTTTTCTTTAATTAATATAGCTAATTTATCCACATATATCATATCATACAGTCTTGTGAGCTAATCTTCTATTAAAGGTATAGCAATTGGCCAGTTCCTTCCTTTGAAAAAGAGCCTACGGGACTTGGTATTCGGTGACAGTCTCCCATCCAACTACTAGCCAGGGCTGCCACTGCTTAACCTCCAAGATCAGAGAGGAGATCTGGTGCTTTCAGGGTATATGTGTGTATTTGCTTTCAAGTTGCCTGTCAACTTATAGCATCCCCATGAATTTCAAAGTGTTTTCTTAAGCAAGGAATCCTCAGAAGTGGTTTTGCCATTTCCTTCCTCTGAAATAAAGCCTACAGTAGCTGGCATTCCTTGGCGGTCTCCTATCCAAGTACTAACCAGGGGTGACCCTTGTTAGTTTCCAAGATCAGCCAGGATCTGGTCCTTATAGGGGATTTTGACCCTGTGGTATATCATGTTTGTATGAACCTTCAAGTTGCCTGTTAACTTATGGTGGCCCCATGAATTTCAGAGGATTTTTCTTGGGCAAGGAATATTCAGAAATGGTTTTGCCAGCTCCTTCCTCTGCAATAAAGCCCACAGCACCTGATCGTCATTGGCGATCTCGCATCCAAAATACTAACCAGGGCTGCCCCTGCTTAGCTTCCACGATCAGACAGGATCTGGTGCTTTTAGGGTACTGGTGGTTTAATTATATCTTCTGTTTCTTTTTAGCAATGTGAACTTCTGTTTCTTCTTTTAATTCTTGTAATTTAACTCTTGGCTTGAGTCTGGGCTGGGGAAAAAAGCAGAACAGCAGCAAGAGCAGCAACAACAATAACCTCCATTTCACTAGACTCCCCTGAGGGCCGTTTGTGGCCCATGGGCCGCATCATTCCCAACGCAATGCTAAAGGACACACATCAATGTAGGGAGCGTAGATCACATTGCATGGGACATGCAACTCTTGTCTTTTCCCCATTCCTCCATATCTGTATGTTGAGATATCTAGTTTTCCCCAACGGGAGGGCCGGCCCAAGCCATCTTCACAGCCCGGGCCACTGCCCAAACGCAGCTCTCTCCTTCTGTCCGTTGTGGACATCCCTTCTCAGCCAGCTCTTGCGCACTGCTTTCGTTTCCTCCGTCCTTCCCCGGCTTCCGAAGCCAACAATGTTGGTAACTCGATCCTCGCACAACTTTCTTTTTTAAGAGAGAGAGAAGCCCAGCGGACACTCGGTAGAATGTTTAATCTCCCAGCGGATCAGGACATATTTTCTATGGAATGGTGACAGCGCATAATACATTGGGTAAAACTGTACTCGGTAATGTGGGAACGGGGGCAAAGAACAGGTCAGAGGAAGGACATGTTGCATGGATCATCCGGACCCAGATAGGAGCCACATGGACCTAATCGAGGCTTCCGGGCGAGGGAATTCTCCCTCCTGTTTTCTGGCTGAAATTCCCTATTCTGCGCCAGCATGGCATAGTGGTTTGTGTGTTGGACTAGGACTCTGGAGGCCAGGGTTTGAATTCCAGCTCAGCCATGACACACATTGGGTGACCTTGGCCAAGTCACACACTCTCAGCCTCAGAGGACAGCAATGGCAAACCCCGCCTAAAGAAACTTACCAAGAAAACTCCATGATAGGTTGCCTTAGGGTTGCCACAATTTGGAAACGACTTGAAGGCACACAACGACATGATCTTTGCAGGCGGCATCACATAAAGTTTGAGTTGGAAGGGGTATCAAGGGCCAGCTAGTCCATCCCCTGCTAGGATGTAAAAGTACTCCTGAAAGATGTCCATCCAAGCTGTGTTTAAAGTCTGTCGGAAATGGAGACTCCACCACCCTCTGAGATTAACTATTCCAAGAGTCAAACTTCTCATAATAATAATATTAATAAAGTCCTTCCTAATGTTTAGCTAGAATCTCTTTCTTCTCTTGTGAATCTGTTAGTTTATGTTCTAATCTCTGGAGCAACAGAAAACAAGTTCACTCCATCTTCTCCCTGACATCTCTTCTGAAATTTATCATGCCATCACTAAGGCTGCTGCCAAGCTTCAGAAAGAAAGGAGCTCAGCACCACTTTAACTGTAAAGACTTAATGCTATAGAATTTTTGGGATCTGTAGTTTGGTGGGGGCAATAGAGCTCTCTGACAAGGAAGGCTAAATATCTCACAAAACTACAAATCCCAGAATTCCATAGGATAGAGCTACAGCGCTCAAAGTGGGGTCATATTGGTTTATTTCTACAGTGCAGATGCACTCTAGGGCTGCATTCACACTGCAGAAATAATCCAGTTTGACACCACTTTAGCTGCCCTGGCTCAATGCTACTGACTTCTGGGAATTGTATTTGTCATGGCACCAGAGCTCTCTGACAGGGAAGACTAAATGTCTTTCAAAACTACAGTTCTCAGAATTCCACAGCACTGAGGCATGGCAGTTACAGTGGTGTCAAACTGGGTTATTTCTGCAGTGTGGATGCAGCCTAGATCTTCTCTTCTTCAAGCTAAAGGTACCCAGCTCCCCAAGCTGTTCCTCATAAGGCTTGGTTTCCAGAGATTTGATCATTCTTGAATGCAAAAGAATCTTGTAGCACTTTGGAGACATTAAGTGTGCAAAAGAAGGTGTAGCATGAGCTTTCGTAGACTTGGTCTGCTTCCTCAGATGCATGGAGTAGACCAAAGCCTACTGAGCAAGTAGACCTAAATCTAGGAAAGCTCATGCTATAACTTCTTTTACACAGTTAGTCTTCATGTCTGATCCCTTTGCAAAATGATATTCCAGACTAAGATGGCTACATGTCCCTGAATTCTACCTTGATCATTCTGGTCACTGTTCCCTTCTCCAGTTTTCCATCTGCATTTCCAGAACCCTTTCAAATGCACCTTGGCTTTTGGACAAGGACGCAAGGGTTCCTTAGGACTCCTGGAGGTAGAGGGTTTTAAAAACCACTAGTTTAGATCTCAGAGGACAAACCAGGTCACTTCGCTAGCCAGTCAGTGGCTCCTTGAAGACCCATCCCCATCGCTGCTGCAATCGCAGTTCAAAAAGAGACCCGTAAATAGTCGATCCTGCCAAGATTTGGGCTGAAGCATATTCTGGCCAAAACCCACATTGGTCTTTCCAATTCCCAAGCCAGAAGAGGGGGTCTCTCTCTTGCTGCCTTGCCTGGAAAGCAGCTCTCCAGTCCCAGGAGGACTTTGAAAGGCAGCCTGCCTCTTGTATAAACAGCACGTCTTATAAATCCACCCATCCCTCGCTCAGCCGACCTTTATGGAGAGCAGAGAGAAGGCAGCCGATCTGCTCCAGAAGGATATAAATACCCCTGCTGCCACGGTCCCAGCGTTTGTTTTCCCTGGTCACCATGGCATTGGGCGGCTGCTGTTGTTTCTCCTGCCGTGTGTTACACTCCAGGCCTCTCCAGGCCGCCTGACAGGGCACCCGAAGCTCGCCAAGGTTCGCCGGTGCCAAGGGGAAACCTGCAAACCTGGGCTCACCGGCTAGCTCCAGAGCGGGACGCCTGGCCTTCTGCTCTGGCCCAAGCCTTGATAACAACCCCAAGGGTCAAAACCTAGGTTGCATCTACACTGCAGAATTAATGCAGTTCGATACCACTGGAACTGCCGTGGCTCCATGCAATGGAATCCTAGAATCTGTACTTCGGTAAGCTATTTCGCCTTCTCTCTGGTGCCACCACGAACTACAAAATCCCAGGATCCCAGAGGATGGAGCCATGACAATGAAAGAGGTCTCAATCTGTATTACTTCTGTAGTGTGAGCTGCACTTTCAGGCATGGATTCAGCAACAAGGTTTTGGAAGGAGCGCCCCGGCCACTAGTCCAAAAAACACTTGGAACAAGACAGAAGATTGCAGGCCTCCTGACTTGCTCCTTCCCATCTCTGTCTCCATTTTCCATCTTCAGAGGCCTTGCTCATATCAGGGGTGCCTGTATGTGTAAATGAGGGAGACCTAAAACTGTCAGAGAGCTCTGGTGCCGCAACAAACTATAAATCCCAGGATTCCATGGGATGGAGCCATGGCAGTGAAAGCAGTCTCAAAGTGCATTAATTCTGCAGTATAGATGCACCCTAAGAGTGGCCATGCTTTCTGAGAGATTGTGGGAGAGCCATATCAGCTTGGGGGGTCTGCAAGTGGTCACGTTTTCTGGGGGATTCTGGGAGCTGTAGTCCAAAAACTTCATTTTTGTCTAAAGCTAAGCCACAAATCCAGAAAAAATATGTGCAGGGATGGGACTCTGCTACCAAGATGAGCAATCCAACACGTCCTTAGAACATTTCCATTCTTCCAGCTGAAGTAAGCTTTGCAGTTAGTCCCTGGCCTTATTAATCTTCCCATTTTAAAAATAAAAGATTATGTGCTCCAGATATGTATTTGAGCTGGGTTGGATACCCCAGGGGCCTTGTCTCAGCCACCTGCTTTGCGACGTCAGAGACGCTGCTGCAAGGAACTTGCTGGAGACTCCAAGATGTCAAGAAGAAAAGGATACAGAATGAGTGGAACAGCAGCTGCCTGGCAGGAGATGGATGGATGGATGGATGGACAGATGGGCTGCTTCTATCTTAATGGGTGGGAAAAGCTTTCAAGGTAGAGTTTATGTGAGCAATGAGCAAAAGAGCCTGACGCAGACCTCAGCCAAGACACCACTTTGACTGCTATGGCTCCATCCTACAAAACCTTGGGAACTGTAGTTTGGTGAGGAACCAGCACTCTTTGGCAGAGAAGGCTAAAGACCCTGTAAAACCACAAATCCCAGTATCTCATAGGATGGAGCAACAGCACTTACAATGGTGTCAAACTTCATTATTTCTACCGTGAAGATGCACCCTTGTTGAATCCGTTGTTGAATGGGGAATCCACAACATGTGGGTCAATCTCACACTGGTTCAATGGGTCTACTCTGTTTGAGACTATCAATAGGCTTCAGGCCAGATCAGCCTCCACTGTTGGAGGCACTTTCACACCTAGACATGGCATCGCTCTCCCACAAGAGCACACAATTGTGTGGAGAAGGAGACTGTACGGGTAGCCAACTCCACAAATGTACCTTCTGCCCTAAACCCATGTGGCTCCATCAATTCAGAAGGACGGAAAGGTGGCATATAAATATTTTAAATATATAAATAAATTAACCTTTCCTTTGGCGGTTGGGCATCCCATCCTTCCATCCATCATCCAGCGACACTCCCTTGCAGGGCCTAGGACAAGCTGCCCAGAAAACTCAATCACGGTCTTTGATGGGAGCACCAGATGTAAATATTTCATGGCCAGTATTCGGAGTGGCTCCCTCCCTCCCCCTTGCCCCATCCATCAAAACGGTCAACCCTATAAAACAAAAAGAATGTATTATCATTATATTGTTAGCCCAGCCAAAGGTGCACAGGAGACCCAATGTGGTGTAGAGGTTCTTAGCACCTTTGCTACTTAGCTGAGTATAGTTCGCCTTCCACATTTGCAGCTTTGACTTTTGAGGATTTGATTATTTGCGGATTTGATTAATATCTAGGAATCTCTAGGTCCTCCAGCGCAACTCTGCCAGAAGTTGACCACAGAGTTGTACTGGAGGACCTGGATATTCCTAGAGAGGTTTTCTCTCCAGTAAAAAGAATAGTATCCTTTTATTTGCAATTTTTCCACAATCAGGGGGGTCCTTCACCCCTAACCCCAGTGAATGTGGAGGGACCATTGTATACATCAAAGAAAAGGTGATATGATAATGGCTAGAATGCTATTGGGGGATTAAGTCTTCATAAATGGACTTCCGTCTATGGGAATTAAAACTGGGAAGTTTTGCAACAACCGTATCCAATAGTGAGCTAGTGTTACGTTATTATGTAGGAAAGCCAGCAAAGTGACCAATGCATATTGGGACTGATACACATTGGGACACTCTTGCTAGTGTCCCATTATGCATCCATGTAATTCTTAGCAATTCTGCTATGGAGATAAGTGTACATAAAGTTACATAATGTGCACTTATGTACATGTGATAGAGGATTTGAGCCAATGTCTTTTATTAGGCCTCAGTTCCAGACTAAGACCAACATACACTTCATACTAAGGATATAATTCCTCACTAAATTTCTTCTCAAAGAAGGTAGTGACAAGTAATTTCAGCAATTTTCTTCCTGATGCCAAAAAAAAAAATTTAAAAAATCCAAAAACAACAGTTTTCAAAGGCTATTCGCAATTTGGGACTTATTCTGCGCAAAATTCACACAGGGTTGTTTTGTACAGAAAACAGTATTTTCTGCATGGAAAATAATATTTCCATGCAGAAATATTAATTCTTGTGCAGAAAATGTTGGGGGGGGGTTGCACAGGAAATTCTGTTTTCTATGCAAATCAATAATGTACAGATTTTATGCAGAATGAATCCCCAGTTGCAGCATTTTCTGGGCATTAATTCATTAATTTTCTGGGCGTTAATCACCATTGTCCCAGCTCATCTCTCTGCCATCTTGTATAAAGTTGCAACAATGGGACAATCATATTGGATGATGTCTCCCCCCAACAT